GGTAGTTTTACCACTCGCAAAATATACTGGGTGAAACTTCATGTCATCTGTATCTCTTTGCATTAAGATTGCTCCATATCCTAAGCGCGATGCATCCGTATGCAGTTCAGTTTCTGCATTTACGCGATAAATCTTTAAAACTGGCTTTGAACATAATGCAGCTTTTAGTGTCTCAAATGCTTCTACCTCAGCTAATCCAAAATTAAATTTAACATTGGCTTTTAATAAATTCGTTAACGGGCGAGCTATCATAGAGTATCGCGGTATGTACTTTCGAAAATAACCTGTAAGGCCCAAAAAACTTTGAATTTCTTTAATACTACCCGGCTTAGGAAAGTTAGCTACGGCGTTTGTTTTATGTTCTGAGGGTCTAACGGTGCCATTTTCAACAATGTGGCCTAAGTATTCTACCTGAGATTGTAAAAATTTACACTTTTTCCAGTTTATGAGTAGCCCATGATCTGCAGCTACTTCCATAACTGTCCTTAAATTTACCATAGCTTCATTATAATTTATTGCAAGGATAACAACATCGTCCATGTAAGTTAAAACTATCTTTTTATGAATTAAGTCTTTAAAAACAGCATTTATATATCTTTGGAAAACGGATGGTGAATTACATAGACCAAAAGGTACTTTCAAAAATTCATATTGACCTGTAGGGGTAATAAAAGAGGTATATTTACGACTGTCTACGTCTATAGAAACATGAAAAAATCCATTCTCAAGATCTATTGTACTAAAAACTTTTGTATTTTGAAGTGAATCTAATTGATCTTCTACTAACGGTAACGGGTACCGGTCTTTTACTATCTTTTTGTTCAGAGCCCTATAATCGATACATACTCGCGTAGACCCATTCTTTTTTTTTACTAATACGATTGGACTAGCGTATTCTGATGTAGATGGTTGAGCTATACCTTTATCAATCCACGTTTTTATTATATTATCAACTTCAAATTTTTCGTGAGGAGACAAACGACGCGGTCGGGAATAAACCGGAACTTCGTCTTTTAATATTAATTTCATTTTTATACCAACTTCACTAATTTTTTCAGGCTTATAATTCTCGATCATTTCTATTACGGTATTACGATGGTCAGTATTCGTTATATAAGATAAATCGACATCATTAGAATTTTCAATAGCGTTGATACACAAAATTTCGGGAATGTCGTCGTTATTTATACCTGTATCGGCAACCTTTGATATTTCTATTCTACCTGCTTTGACTGTAAGATTAACTTGATTTAGAAAATCAGTCCCCATTAATATATCATATTTCAATATTTTACCTGGAACGACATGAAATTTCATACAGTAACTAACATTATCGATTTTTACGTCAGTAACAAATTCGCCAAGAGTTTCATTACCTGTTGACCCTATACCATCAAACTTAATACTATTTCGCGATAATGCGGGTGAACCTATTTTTACATACTCATCTGTCCGCATAAGAGTCAAATCGCTTCCAGTGTCTATTAGGGCTGTAAGCTTATTGTCCTTAACTACAACTTCTTTGACGAGTTTCTTCTTAGCTGCTTGTGTAATGCTGTTGGTTTCCTTTGATTTGCTGTTCGATGCTGTTCCTTGACACTTCGACGCTATATGACCGTAGTCATTGCACTTAAAACATTTCACACCTTTTCCTTTATTGGGACAATCAGCACTTAAATGTTCTAACGCACCACAAATATGACATCTTTTCACTTTTTTATCATGTCTAATTATCTTCATATTTTTATCACTACCTCGTCTAAATTTACTATCGTCTTTATAACTATTTTTTACTTTTGTCATTTCACTTTTCATGCATTCATATTGCATGAATTTTTCTTTAAGTTCGCGCACTGTTTTTGCACCATACAAAATACTTTTATTTACAGGATCATCAGGAATACCCTCGATAATATACTTAATAACTGTACGTACATCTATGTCCGCCTGGCTTGCGATATCAAGCATTTTGTATGTGTACTCCTGAAATGTTTCGTCCAGCTGTTTTTTTCTGCCCACTAACTGACGATGAACTTCATAGCTGTCGATTACTTCTTTAAACTCTGCTGTCAATGCATTTTTCAACATTGCCCAATTTTTTGCACACTTCTCGTACCTTACAAATAACTTTGCAGAACCAGTAAGCAATCTTTTTGCATATGCTACTTTCTGCATGTCTTTCCACTCACATAAGTTTGCCATCTCTTCGAAATCTTCAAGCCATCTCTCAACATTTAATTTTTTATCACCGCTAAATTTTTCCAGCGACTCTTCTACATCGCGAAAAGTCAATAGAACTTTATCGCGTGACCTTCTTTTATTTTGTTGGTTGACGGTATCTTCATCATCTTCACTTGAATCATTTTCGGATGTATCATTGTTCTCATGTAAAGCCTCACGTAACCGATGACGCAATATTGCCTTTGTCCCATCCACAGAAAGACCTAGTTCTTCCAACTTTTCACGTAATTCTTCCACCTTCATCTTTTCAATATCTTGCTGGCCAACCATGGTGTTTTTGAAACAGCTTTTTTCAATTCACAACAACTTTTACACAACTGAAGATCCGTCGGATCACTACTTTCGTTGTTTGAATGTCTTTAATTTTTCTCAACACCACGCACAGATACGAAAATTGTCAGTTATCGACGTTGTTATTAATTTCGCAAGTCACAGTTAACGATTTCACTGTATCCCGGACGAGCCCCCAAAATTATGTAGGGATATAACAGTAACGTTAACAGGGACGTGTAAATATAACGATTTATTAAAAGAAACAAGTTATAAGATGAATAAGATTAAGTTAACAGAACATGGAAGTTTTACATGAATGAGCCAAGCCCTCACGACGTCTAACCTTTTCGAGGGTTGTTCTTAGACTCCCGATTCCGTCCTTTTTAAAATTGTACAGTAATCGGTACTTCTTGACCGTCCCAGAGGTCTTTTTCTTTAAGCAACGGTAATAAACTTTACGACAGGGTTGGGTCCGAGGACCTGGCTGCTACATGTACATTTTCTTAGAAATTAGTAAATAATTCTTACGACTATAACAACTTAAAATTTAAACATTAACAACTAACTTATTCTAAGGCACGTCTGCATACTACATACATATTAAAGTATTTGTCTTTATTTGACTTTTATCTTAATTACAATTACCCTTAGTAAATATATACATGAATAAAAACCAAAAATTCTTCAGGGGAAAATATACCTACCTTATTGACACCCAACCTTTAGAAAATATTCGTTGTATAAGGAAAAATGAGTCACTTAATAGTTAATTATTTTGTTTCAGCGGATAGTAGTTTTCTGCTGGCAAACGCACAAATAGTGGATTATCCTATTGTCTACTGCAACGAATCCTTTTGCAAGATTTCAGGCTACAATCGAGCAGAAGTAATGCAAAAATCCTGCCGATGTTCATTTATGTTCGGGGAACTAACCGACAAAGAGACCATCAACAGAATCGATGTGTGCTTAGAAAGTCAACTCTGTGATCAATTCGAAATTTTATTGTACAAGAAAAACAGTGAGTACACTCTCTTTCTTTCTTTCTCTTTTTCTCTCTACGTGTAGGTACTTAATACCTATCGATACTTTACAAGTAAAAACAAAAAGCTTTTACAGTAAATTCGATGTTGATACGACGCATAACAAAAACCAGAGTAACTGTTTGCAATTAGGGGGCCATTCTAGAAGGAGGAGGAAAGGGGTAAATAGGAACAGTGTGGGCGCGACCTTGTAGAATAACAAACAAGTTGGGGAGGAATATGGGGTAAATGGTTAATTATGTATATGAGTTAGCCATCGGTTGGTGAGGGAGATGTGGATGGAGGTGACTTTGTAAAAAAAAAATAATAAGAAGGGCATTGTGACTACAACATTCGCTTCGCTAAATTGTTTCTCGTACTATGACCTTATACCTGACCAATCAAATAAAAGCATTCCCCAGTTAAAGTTTGGTTAAGTTATGCTTCCTTCAGTGGCTTTAATCGAAGAATGCTTTTAAATTATTGCTTAGGTTCATATGGTTACGGTAGGAAAAATAACACAAACGAAATGTTCCTAGTTTTAATTTTTAGCTCCACTCTGTACTTTATAGACCCTTTTCTCCTGCTCCTACGACTGTGGGCCCTATATTGTAAGCAATCGCCACACCTAGTTAGCCTTTTTTTATATATACAGACAGGGTGCTTTACATGACGGTTTCGTTATTATACTTTTAATAAAAAAAAAAATGTTTCTATAAAAGTGGTCTGGAATCATACGGTGTATTATATACAGAAAATATTTTCTGTCATACAGAGTGCTCCATTTCGTCTGGACGCTATGTAACTTTATTATTTTAAGTCGAACACCCTGTATATATTTACATTTTTGTTTATTTGTTTAATTTTAGGTCGACTTCGTTAACAGTAGTTTTTGTGATATTCAACTGCTTTTGAAAAAAATCATGATTTCAGCTGTTTGGATGAAACCAAATAGCATCTAAGCCATTAAAGCTAAAAATCTGCGGTTTGGACAGTTCGTTTTGGCACGAAATACCGTATGTTTTTTTGCGTTGGGCAAAATGTGCACGTTATTCAGAGCCGGCAATATCGAAACCTACTTTTGACAATCTTATAAAACGAATAACTTTTTTTTTAAATAGAATGACCCATATTAAGTGATACCCTTCGACTCAAAATTAAAAGCATTTTTTACTGAAGAAGATAAAATCATCGATTTTTTCTGGAAAATTGTTAGAGAACAGGGAACCTTAAATCTCAAAAACTACTAGAGATAGATGCAATAAACTGTTAATAAAGTTGACCTAAAATTAAACAAAGAAACCAAAAATGTAAAAATATACAGGGTTTTCCATTAAAAAGTCCAGAAGAAATGGAACACCCTGTATGACAGAAAATACTTTTTGAATATACGAGGGTGGATTGATAAGTTTCCGGCCTAACCAAGAGATGACGCCACTAGGCCTACCTTGAGGTGACATTCTATAGTACCATCCTTGGATAGCTTGTAGCTATAGTTTCAGCCCGATCTCCTTGCTAGTGTAGGTTTGACAGCACGCTGAACAAGACGCCTCTGTGGTTTTCGTAAAAATGGAAAAGCAGGAAAATCGTGCTGTCATCAAATACTTTTATTTGAAGGGGTTAACGCCGAAGGAAATTAAAAAAGAGATGGACTCAACACTGGGGACATCCTCCCCGTCATATTCAACCGTTAAGCAGTGGGTTTCCGAGTTTAAAAAGGGTCGTGTGAGCACCTCTGATGGGCCTCGCTCAGGACGCCCCGTTGAGGTCACAACTCCAGATATGATCGAAAAAATTCATCAAATAGTGCTGGGAGACCGCAGATTGAAAGTGCGTGAGATAGCTGAGACCTGTAAGATGTCATATGAACGTGTGCAACATATTTTGCACCAACATTTGCATATGGAAAAGCTCTGTGCAAGATGGGTGCCGCGTTTGCTAACAGTCGACCAAAAATTGATTCGAAAAAACATTTCTACCGCAAATTTGTCATTGTATAAGCGTAATCCAAGCGAATTTTTGCGTCGATTCGTAACCGTTGACGAAACGTGGGTCCACCACTACACTCCTGAAACCAAAGAACAGTCTAAACAGTGGATTGGACCAGGGGAACCAACTCCAAAGAAGGCAAAAACAATTTTTTCGGCGAACAAGGTTATGGCTACTGTTTTTTGGGATGCAAGAGGTATTATATACATTGATTACCTTGCAAAGGGTAATACTATCACTGGTCAATACTACGCAGACTTATTGCAACGTTTGAGCCACGAGGTGAAAATTAAACGACCTCATCTGGCGAAGAAAAAAATCTTGTTTCATCACGATAACGCACCAGCGCACACGTCAATCGTTGCGACGGCTAAAATCAACGATCTAAAGTTTGAATTGATGCCGCACCCTCCTTACTCTCCAGACCTAGCCCCGAGTGACTATTTTCTGTTCCCTAATCTCAAAAAATGGCTTGGCGGTAAGAGATTTGCGGACAATGAAGAAGTAATCGAAGCTGTAAATGGTTATTTTGAGGAGCTTGACGAATCAGTCTATAGAGATGGCATTAATAGACTGGAACACCGCCTCTCAGTCACTAGGACGCTTGGAGGAGATTATGTTGAGAAATAAAAAAAAAAAATTTTTAAAAACCTTGTTTTTCTTGGTCAGGCCGGAAACTTATCAATCCACCCTCGTACACCATATGATTCCAGACAACAACGACAAAGAAAATATTAAAAGTATAATAAGAGAGTTATGGACGAAACCGCCTTAGGTGAAACACCCTGTATATACTGCAGATAAAAATTAAAAAATTTTATACTTAAGCGGATAAAAATATTTGAAAGCAAAATACCCAACCCATATCCTTAACGCTGACCTGATGTGGCTAGTGAAATAAATTCGTTTATGATGTTTCCGTGCACTTATAAAACCAAATAACGAAATATGAAAACGTAGTTAATGAACAATCAAACAATTTAGTCATCGCTCCAAGTGCTATACTGAAACTCTTCAGATGTTTTTATCTGCTTTATCACTTCGTCGATAAAAAGAAGTCGTCGTTTAATTTTTCATTTTTTTTTTCTCTTTTATACGTATATTTATTTTACCCTTTTACTTAGCGAAACGTAAAAAAAAAAAAAAAAAGAATTAACCTTTGTCTTAGCGATTAGGAGGAACAAGAATAACATTCGTAAATACTTATTACAGATATCTATTAAATAGCTAGCAAATGGAAAAAGTGTAAGCCTGTAGGAATTCTGTTTAATGTTACTATTTTTTAAATTTATGTAGATGAGGTCAACAGACAAGATGTCAAAGGAAAATTAAATCCGATCAGTGAAACATCTTTGATGCTTAAAGGTAAAAATCAAAAGCGAAAATTTGCGTATGCAAAAAGAGTAGATAATAAAAACTGCATAAGTACACCAAAAGCTGTTTTGTTTTGAACCTTGAGTATTTAGCATAATCTTTCACAGAGAGCCTGGAGGATATACAATGATATGTATTTAAAATTTACGACATTTACATAATATTTTCACATTTACATAATTGTTGAAGTAGGTCATATACAATATGTGCTAAGGGCTTGGCCAAACAGGAAGCGGACTACCAGCGTGGATGAAACGATCGCAGCCGGCCGAGGACAAGGGTAGTAGTCTACAAAAATTAACCGAAAAGTAATTACTTTTTGGAAAAATTACCACTTGCTTTTTCACGTGTATTTGTAAAAAATTAGATACGTCATTAATAAATTTGTGTATCCGTTTAAAATAGTGTGCAATTTTGTTTATAAACAAAATAGGGACGAGTTTTCATTTTTTTTTTTTAATTTTTCCAATATAACTGTTAGTTTTAGCAAAATGTTTCAAGTGAATGTTTTTTAAAATTATTCTATGTCGTAAATTTTCTTCAGTAAATGAATATTTATCAAGGAAAACCGATTTCTTTCGTGCCCACTTGGCATTGAAATTTTAGGAAAATAGTTATTAATCTTGCTAAAATTTTATCTCGACCGAATAAATAGGTCAGCAAAAATTAATTTCATCAACATAAGGTCGTTAGTTTTAAGACTGGTTGGACACTCTTTCCTATCCTGAACTAATTTTCGCATTTCCCTAAAACTAGAACAACCCACATCCTTAACTATCTGCGAACAGTAATCTAATATAGGCCTACCTCTACCCTTCCTAACTCCCGTTTCTGCCTCTAATATGTCTCTGATTAGACCTTCATGTCTGAGAAGGTGTCCTACCAACATATTTCGCCTATTTCTTGTTGACTTTCATAGAATTCACTCTCCTTTTCTTTCTAATATCTCTTCATTTCTAACCTTCTCTATCCACGGTATTCTCATCATTCGCTTGTAACACCAGCTTCTAATCATTTTTTCTTCGCAGCGCTCATCGTCCATGTTTCACACCCGAACAGTGCCGCGCTCCAGATCTTTATTCTATATTCGCTCTTTTCCTACTTTTTCTTCCCTTGCATACCAGTATTTTTGTTTTAGTTTTATTTATTTTTATACAATACTGTTTTGTCAATACCGCTTCTATTTTACTTAAAACCATCTCTAACTCCTTCTTGCTAGATGTTGATACTGCTATATCATTTGCAAATCTAAGCATACTAATTTTTTGCCCCTGTATATCGATCCCTACAGTTGTACTGTCTTTAATGATGTTGATCGCGTCTTCGATGTATAGATTAAAGAGTAGCGGTGACAGTGTGCATCCCTGTCTGACTCCCTTCTTAATATTTACTTTTTTATGTTGCAGACCCAGCTCTATAACTGCCTGTTGCTCTTTATACAAACTAAGTATCACTCTTCTACATCTCTGAACTCATCCCTACATTTTTAACTATATTTAACATCTTGCCCCATTTAACACTGTCAAAGCTTTTTCTAAATCTACAAATTCTATGTATGCACTTTCCTTTTTCTATCGTTTTATATCTATGGTATTGTTGTATGATTTCTCTAATTTATTTTTTTCTTGGTTTTCGCGTTTCCTCTTCTTTCCTTCAATCTAACGTGGTAATAGTTTTTCTAATAAAGAAGAATTACTTTTTGTGTCAAGCAAGATGAAATAGTAAACGGATGCACGAAATAAATGAGAAAAAAGTCGATTTCCACCAATTTCATCAAATAGGCTATGAGTTGGGGTCACTTGAAAACCGTTTTTCATCTATTTTCGAATATTTCAACAACAATTTGATAGTTACTTACTTTTTTCCATTTCGTGCGAACTTTTACAACCATTGCTATGTCCTTTGCGAACTAATCTGGTCCAGGATAATTTTATTTACGTTATACAAAGTTAAAAGTAGATATCGACAAGCGGCTTGATCCGCGCGGAATATCCGCCTCCTGTTTGACTGAGCCTTATTAAAGACGTAGGCACATACGATGGATTAAACCATACTTGCACTAACGGTTATGACTAATTATGACGGAAGTATTATAACAAAGGTAAATTGCCTAAAAAATTGCTTTTATTAAGTGGTTTAAAATATATGACTTTTGAAAATCATTAAATTGGATTTATGGACAACATACGAATATACATATAATATATATGTGTGTTTATTACGATACAACAAATCAATGTGCAATTTTTTTTTGAAACGCGTAATTAAATTGAGCAGTAACCTTTCTGTCTATTTTACATTTTTAATTTATAATATTTAATAATTTGGAGAGATAGAGAGTTGTTTGTAGTTGATGAATATATTCACACGGGCGTGTGAGTATGTGTTAGGGTTTGTTCTCGTTTCGTACCTAACGCGAAAAATTATCGTTTTTTACCTTATATTTTTATTACCTAAATCGAAGGATAGTTATACTCATTTGGTACCTTGATGCGGATAGTTGAAATTAATTACACAAATACCCTAATTATTAACTTTCTTCGTACATATAAACGACTAGAATCACCCCTTGCTTCTTCAATGATGCCAATGTCTATGTAAGTGGTATATCCCTAGACAATAATTTTCGGTCTTTCTCTAGTCTCCCAGAGTCTTTCAGCGTCTCTGAGAGCATCTCTCACAGTCTTTTACAGTCTCTCAGTTATTGCCTAGGTGTTTTTATGCATCTCTCACAGACTCTGTATGAGAGACTCGAACAATAAAATTGTTAATTCAGAGATTCGAGTCTCTCACAGAGAGACTGAATGAATAAAACTGAAAAATTGAGACTCGAGTGTCTCGTAGAAACACTGGGATCTCTGAAATATGTTGAACTTAGAGAATTATAACCATGTGTATCGAGACATCACTTATTGAGAGATTCGAGTCTCTCGTTCAGAGACTGGATATGAAATGAAGATCTCTCGATGAGCAACTCGAGTCTCTTCTTCAGAGACGCCAAACAGTTTTTTGACAGTCTCTCGACAGTCTCTCTCAGCGACACCAGAGAGACTCGATGAGAGACGGAGACACGAGTCTCGCTTTCAGAGACTCTGAGAGACTGAACATTTCTATCTCAGGATACTGTTGAAATATTGTTTATTCAACTTCTAAATGTTCTATCCTAAAAAAAAAATTGCTTTGACTCAATAATTTTCTATCTTGATTCTGACTTAAAAAATAAGTTAATTGTGCTTTTCTCGAATAACAGTTTCCCTTCTATGCTATGGCAGATTTTGAATCCCTAATGAACTATGTATATGAGAGGAATGTAATTATTTTTTAACAAAATTGAACCATGAAACTGTGGTAACATAATCCAGATCTTTGTTGGCTATATTTTTCGTTAATTCTTCTAACCATACTCTTCAAGGCTTGTTTTCTTCGCATTGGAAATGTAAAGTACACAGGGTACGAAACAAAAACTCATTAGCGGCGATTTATCTTCACGAGAACAAAATTGGTGAAAACAGGTAATATTTAATTAAGGTACGAAACGAGAAGGTACGAAAAGAAAATACACGACATGTTAGGTACCAGTTACAGGTACTCATTAAAATTATCCTTCGATTAGACACCATATGAAGATCGAAGAGATTAAGCATACTTTACTGCGTACAGGTATCTCTATATCTATCGATATTGCAATAAAAAGCAACTAATATTAGCTCACACATATGGAATAGACCTCTTGCATAAAATTTCAAATTCGTTTTTCTTGCTTAGATCATAACGTAATACTTTATTTTTTATTTCATCTAACTGAAATATTTATAATCAAAGGAAATCAAATGCACAATATGCGTGGTGTTAGTAAATATAGTGAGAATACAAACACGAATACCAGAGTGGTATAAATACAATGCAATAAAATTCTACTAAAAAATCACTGCAATATTAAATAAACTGACCGATTTCTGCGATGGGCCACGTCCTGCCAGAACAAAAAAAACATCCATATTTCATTAGAATTTTATACTTCACACTGAATTAGAAAAACTATAAATTGTGTTTATTGGAGATAGTACACAATTAACTTATATCTCATTAACTGCTCACCGTATTAAAAGTTTGGTAAAGGTCTAGATTATCCCCCGGAAGGCGGTGGGGGCAGGGGGGATTGAAAGAGGAGGTCTTCCTGAGTAAACCACCATAAAAAGTTCGCGGCGGTCACACTCCCATAAAAAGTTATGCGGTTGCAAAGTTCTGTAATTTTCAAAAACTTAACCTAACCTAACTTTTTCTTTTCCGCAGCGCCCACCGACTATGTTTCGCACCCGTACAGCGACCCGCTCCAAGTGACCCTGCGCTACCCTCTGCTTTATATCATACACTATAAAGTCTAATAAAATTTAATAGATTACTTATTATTACTNCGCCAAACTTGCTATAGTTTGCACATAAATTATTGATTGCTTCTATGTAGTTTTCATTGTTTTCATTTTCGAATATTCTTTGAAAAATAATATACAAATTACATTTACATACACACAAGCATATGAAAATCAACAAAATAGTAAACTTTGAGCCCCCATAACTTTTCATGGGGGTGAGACCGCTACAAAGTTTTTATGGTACAATGGAGGGGGAGACCTCCCCTTTCAATTCCCCCTTCCTCCACCCCCTTAGGGGGGATAATCTAGGCCTTTACCAAAAGTTTTTTCAACTATCTTTGCAGTAAATTATTTCAGTAACTTTACTAAATAGGTTTTTCTGTTTAAAATTTACCCTTTTTTGAGATATTTAGAAAAAATATTTGTTTGTAGCCATTGGCTCTGCATAATTAATATCAGACTATGAATAATTGTAGCATATTAAGTACTGGCATAAAAACATCAATGCCAATATGTCCAAAAATTTAGCCTGTTACAAACTATTTCCACGAAGGATATTTGAATTTTTTGATCCATATGTCTAATAGGAATAATGAGGAAGATTTTACTATCAACAAC